TGTTCGATATTACATTATCCATGTTATAATTTCGGCCTTTATTTTATGGCTGTTCATGGATATATATAATAAAATCCAAATATTCGGGTTGCTCCTAATTATTTTGTGGCATGACTTGTTAGCATATTGTCACTTCAAAGGCAAAGTACAGTACTATACATCTCCAATGCCATGTACGAAAAAAAATCTGTATGAACTTTCAGTAAAGATAATGCAAGTGCGTTGTCTAAATTTAGACTATAATTTTCCTAAAAAAGGATTAAATAATGCGTTAAATTAGTATAATCTTCAAGCTGACCAAATCAAATTCAAAAGCAACCATGAAAAAGCAAAATTTTAATACTAATTCGAATATATCTCTGCTTCCGATAATATTATTTTCCAATTAATTGCAAATTTTATGTAAACTGTTGTATAATATGTTCTGAATTAGTCCTTCTTCTTCCCATTTGACGCCAATATTTTTTTAATGGTATGAATAACATATTCGATCCTTAACTTCTAACTATATCTTGAATATGTCATATTTTTAATAATGTGGTCACTAAAAACGTATATAACTTTTAGGTCCGCAAGACTCCTTAGCTAATTTTTTTAAACGTTGAAGAACACCCTTTTCTTTGTTTGTGAAAAAAAGAATTGGGACGAAACTTTTTTAAACTTTTTTGTTCTACTCCACTAATTTAAAGATTTGCTTTACAAATTATATGAACTAAGTAGTACAGGCGTGGATAGCTGTAAATTCCATATTGTCTCTATTTACTTAAAAACCACAGTAAATAAACACTTTTATAATAAGCATCAGAAAAATGTACCCATTTTTCGAAAAAAATGTGAAAAAAGCAGTTTGCCAACAATTATAAGATTTGAACCCTTGTATATACAAAACTACTTGACGTATCAATACCAAATTTCATATTTATTCTACTTGGAGTGTTTTCTACCAATTCTCATCAATAAATTTGTCCTCAGAGGAAGTTGGTTTTGACCATTTTTGGCCGCGGTCGTGACACTGTATTTCTTTTTCTGCAGTATAAAATATCAAGTTTTAGTTGGGATGGGTCCAAAACACATCGTTTGTTCTGAGTATCTACTATTTGATGTTTATGACCGAGTCTTGTTGATATAGAAAATAAATTTATTTATTTCTAAAATATCCTTTGATATAATTTTTGTAATATTTGAATTCATGGAAAATAAATTTAAATTAACAGCCTGTTTTTGTAAAATTCTAAACGAACGAATTCGAGTGACTTACGACCGAACGAATTCGAGTGACTTACCTTTCACCATAAGATAATGTATATATTAATTTTGTCATTACCTTTGCAACACTGGAGACCCCAGATCAGAATATAAATAGATGTCGAAATGACATCTACATGACATGATAGTAATCGCAATATTAAAGATAGAGATTTGATTGGATGTTTGGTAATGAAAATGTTGGACACGGTGTCAACCGAATTTTCTTTAATTTGGTATTTTGGGTTTTTTAATGTATAGTCAAATATGTAATAGCCCCATATGTAACGGTGCCCCCAATATTCGGTGTTTTGTCTGTAATTTGGTACTTTTGGCGACATCGACGTTTCTAAATGTTATTAGATGTCCTCATTTTATGTATTTGAGGTAATTGACATGTTGAGGTATTTGTAAAACGAATTGATAACATCATGAGACTCTTTGTTATAATATATGTTTTTGGTTTTTGTAATATGTATATGTTTTTGGGTTTTGGCATATCCTTCACATTACATATTATGCCTATTATGCATTTTTTTTTTTTTTTTTTGCTGGTTTACTGATATTTCCCATTTGCAATATCAAATGTCTTAGGGGTAATAACAATGTATGTGCAAAATTTCAAAGCTCTATAGTAGTTCTCATTCGAGTTTAATAGTCGAACTTTGCATTGAAAAGAAAAGCCAGAGAAAAATTTCGATTCAAAATTTCTTCTTAGATTAGTTTTCTCTGTGATATATATTTTAGTATCGGACATACGCTAGGTTTTGTGTTTAAAATTCAAAGATATTGTCCACCGATTAGGTGTATAACCACCATATAATGGTACCACCTGATTTTATATTTCTCGTCGCATAGGTAATTTAAGGAACTATTATTATTATTTTCAAACAAAATAATCATGGGTCTTAGAATCAAAATTCTATGAATGAACACAAACTCGAATCAGAATGTCTTCTAATTTTCCATTCTTGCATTTGTCCCAAAATTTACGTGCATTCTATGTGAAATATGTACATACAATGAATGCGTGTACATTCAATGATATATACAATGATAATTGAAAAAAAAAAATATTTTGAAAATTTTTAATAATTGACAAATTAAGGCCTAAAGGGACGATACGCTACCAATTTTTGATCAAAATATCTCAAAATAAAACTACGACGTGGTGCAATCAAAATAGATCGATAGGGGAAAGGGAGGCACCTTTGAACAGCGCCCATAAAATCTTGGTTTAATATTTTTTCGATTAATATTCATTTTTGTATATGGCAATCTTGTTCTCTATATGCGTAAACCACTTTGGCTTGCTTTTTCAGTTGTCGAAAAATTGTGCGTGACCATGTTTTCTCAGTGTCATTATAAACTTTTATTCATTTTAACTTAACTGTATTTTTCACCATATTAATTTTTGTTTTTAAGTCATTTTATGTTTTAATAACTTTTGATCTAAATTTTTTTATTTTGAACATTTTTTATATATTTTAAATGAATTCATGCATTTCTGATATGTATGAATAAAATACATACATATTTGAACATAAACACTGTAAAAAACCATGTTGTTCAAAAATGCCAACCCCTGTTCAAAGCTGCCCCCCTTGGGGGGCAGTTTTGAACACTTTGAGTTCGCCCATTAAAACAGTAATAACATATATTTATAAAGCTTATAGTATGTCATATGTATATTCATTTTAAAGGTACCTATTAGATAAAATTTATAAGAAACCAAAAATTATAAAATAAAAAATTTGATAAGGCTTGAAAGCAAAAAGTGTTCAAAGGTGCCCTCCTCTCCCCTACTAAATTTGTGGAAATGCGAACATATTTATTTTATTTTCAGATATCTTCATGCTTCTATTTATTTCTCGCGACTATTATACCGTATTTCAATGTGATTTGACAAGTATGCAAAGAAATCAAATGTGTTCAAACAATTTTTGAAGAAAAACGCGAATTACAACAATTAGGAATTCATTTTATTTATATTTGAAATACAAGATTTAAACCCGGTATAACTTTTGTGACCAGCATCCGAATTTGTGAACGCGAATTCGAATCAGCATATTTTTCTTAACCTATGTACCAAACATCATGAATGTCCTCGCAATCAAACTAGATCGACACTAAATTCGTGGAAATGCGAATATACTTCATTATATTGATTGCAAATTTATCACGGTTTTCAAACCTTTAAACATTTCCTGGAGCTCCACGAACATTTCAAGACTAAGATAAGAAAAATCCGATCAACAGTTCTCGAGTTTTAACGAGACTAACAAACAGCAATTCATTTATATATGGGAACTTACAAAAATCTTTTAAATACTTTGAAACTGAGGTTTGCAAGCTTATAACTAGCGAAATATGAACATATTGCATATAATAAAATGAAGTGTTCTTGTCAAAAACTTAAAATATTGGTAATAAATAATAAGTTGCGTGGAAGCCGTGTTGATGGTAATGTAAAAAAATGAGTGAAAATATGTTGAAGCCAACGAGTTTTTTGTGTTCCCTTTTGATTTGTGGCTAAACTACACAACGCACGCACATGTGATCAGTGACTATGTTGAAGAATACCCCATGCACAATATGGTTCTAATGTATGATTTTTCGATATAATAACTGCATCCAGCCAAAAGGGATGCTGACATTTTGAAGCCGCGCAACCAGATAATGGACTAAACTGTAGAGCTCGTGATTTTGTATCGTTTAGTGTATATCTCATGAATGTGCTCATCATAGCTTATTTGCAATTGGATTCCAAAGATGAAAATTTGGTGCGTAAATTTTTATAAAAAAAAAACTAATTTTTGAGTCTAAATTTAAGAAGGTCCAGTCTAATGCCGTTGAACCCCGTGCGATTTTAGTTTTTTACGTGCCGAATCTAATGAGTCCAGACATGTTCAATACCACTCAATAAAACGGCGCATATAGGTACCTTGAATGTAGGAAAAACTGCAATAACTTATTTTGACTAATTCTTCTTTCTTGGAATTGATTTTAACAGCATTCATGCTTGTATTATCATATTCGCGAATCTGTGTGAAAATAGGTCAAAAATACATCGATACGCGAATAATATGCCTATTTTATCCAAAATTCATCCACGGTCCTTAACCAATTGTTTTAAAATATATGTACTTTTGTGTATTTTCATTGGAGCTTACTGAAATCTGATGCGCATAAAAATCTTATGCACGTTGCGTAATATTTAGCCATTTTTACGGTTTTTGCATAGTAAAGTGCATCGAGCGGCACACTTTGACCTCTAAATGAAATATCGAAAAATGTACAGTTATTGGAAGAGATTGATTCGGTTTATACGAAAACCGCATGCGCAAGAACTGATTTCCACGAATACCCGAATTGCATGGTGTTCAATATTTATCATTTTTATGTATTGTAAGTGCAATATATTTAGTCGCAATAAAGTCTAAATCAGTGTTAATAAATATTATTTATTTTGAATCGATACCCTTCAAAAATCTTTTTGTTTCAAAAATTGTGATTCCTAAAGAAAATAAAATACGTGCATTGTGAAATCTCACTTTTAATTTTAAAAATTGAAGTGATAAGTTAAATTTGTTTTCGTGCCTTATTGAGTTTGCAATTGTGTTTTATTTTCTTGTTGTAATTTTTCGTTTTTTGACATTTCTCTGTTTTTTTCTTTTGTGTTTACATTTTTGTTTTTATTGATTGTTTTTAAATATTTTTTTGTGTAGCATATTTTTAGGCACTTACTTAAAATAATGGCTTGTTTATACGAAGGTTGTACCATTACAAGCACAACTGAGCGGCTTATAACATGTTGGTTATGTGATAAGCATGCTCATTTCAAGTGTGCTGGATTCAATGGAAGACTTTTCGATAAAATTAGTGATCGTAACAATGGTTTGCGATGGGCATGTGTAGAATGTAGAACCTATGAAGTAGACTTTTATCGCCTCTTTAAGGAAGCTAAACTTGAAATGGTTGCCTTGAAAAGGGGCGTTGACTCGGTTTATTCTCGCCTTGAAAATTTTGAAAAAATGTTCAATAACTTTGAGTTTGCAGATGGTTCTCCAAAAAGGAAAAAATCGTTAGTAGTTGCTCAGGGTGACAACTTAATTGCGTTAAACTCACCCGTTGTGGTTCCGCCACGCAACAATTCTAATCCTAGTCCATGTGGAAACCATCTGGCGCTGCCAGCGCTTCACTCAAATAGTGGTTCCGCCGCAATAACTTTAAATCTGAGAGATAGTTGTAGTTCACCGATCGAGACCTCCAATTCAAGCGCACCAAATGTCCTTTCACGCCCTCCTATTATACCTCCAATAGTTGTAAATACTCCTAGCCCTATACCTACTCAACCTTCTATACCATTAAATGAACCTTCTACGAGTAACAACGAATTAATTGTGGTTGCTCCTAGGAAAACTGTATTTATATCTAGATTACATGCTAACACTACAGTGGAAAATATACGTAGTTACATTGGTACTAAATTAAAAGACATTAACGTAAATGAATACAAAGTTTTTAAATTTAACACTGCAGCTCCTCGAGAAATTTCCTCGTTTAAGGTTATTGTTCCAAATAACTTATTTAGTATTCTTGTTAGTAAACAATTTTGGCCAGATGGTGTATTAGTAAAAGAATTCTTGTATAGAGAAAGGGCAAAACCTCCAACAGTGTTGCCTCTCTCAAAAAACTAATTATGAAAAATTCACTGAATATACTTTACCAAAATGTCAGAGGTTTAAAAACGAAACTTCGCAATATTTACTTAAAGTCTTTCGATAATGAATATAAAATTCTAGCTTTTACGGAAACATGGCTTAAACCAGATATTTTCGATAGTGAGCTTTTTTCTGATCAATATCAAATATACCGTAATGATAGATTGCATAAAATAGGCGGTGGAGTGCTGATTGCTGTTCATAATTCCATTGCCTCAGAACGCATCACAATGCCGGTTTATCCGGATATTGAATTAGTCTGCATTAAATTAAGAATATCAAATTCTTCTATCTTATTAACTTGCTCCTACATTGCTCCAAATTCTAATCTAGAAATTTACTTAAGACACTTTGAGATTATTAAGGAAATTACATCCTCATATTCAACAAATACTGAATTGATTTGCCTAGGTGACTTTAACCTGCCTAACATTACATGGATCAGGGGTGAACATTATATTGATTATATACCTGTTGCATCTACTGGCATGGATATGTTATGGGAGTATATTTATGACCTATGTTTATTTCAAATTAACAGCATCCGAAACGTTAAAGATAAAATTCTGGATTTAGTCTTCACTACAACTTCAAATGTTTCCCTCTGTAGGTGTTTGCCTTTTGCGGAACCAGAAGATAATTACCACCCAACTTTGAGTATTAATTTGGAATACAATCAATTAACGAATGTCGCCTCAAAAACCAATTTGCATTCCCTTGCAAATTGGTGTAGTTTCAACGGCATGTCTCTCAATCTCAAGAAATGCAAAAAACTATCTTTCTTTAGAACACGACATGTGTCTTGTAATTACTCAATAGGATCGTACACATTAGAAAATGTAGACTCCTTTGTTGATCTTGGTGTTATTCTAGATAATAGACTTCGTTTCCACTTACATATTGAGGCTTGTGTTAATAAAGCGAAGTCGTTGTTAGGCTTTATAAAACGTTGGTCTAAAGAGTTTGATGATCCCTACGTGACCAAACGTCTCTTTGTAACTCTTGTTCGACCTACCTTGGAATACTGTTGCGTACTTTGGAGTCCTCTCTACAAATGTTATTCTGACAAAATAGAATCCGTTCAAAAACAATTTCTTCTTTTTGCTCTTAGAGGTTTACCATGGAATACAGATTTAGCTCTCCCGCCTTATGAAAATAGATTGAAACTTATAGATCTCCCAACTCTTGAGAGAAGACGTTTAATGCTCCGCGTAATTTTTATTACTAAACTTTTAAGAGGCAATATAGCTTCGAGTTTTTTAATTGGAGAAATAAAATTAAATGTACCTCCACGTAACACGCGTAACTACATTCCACTTAAACTTTCTTTAGCTAAATCTAATTATGAATTAAATGATCCCTTTCGTGCTATATGTGAGGTTTATAATAAGCTTTATAATTGTATACCATTTTACGACTCTGTAGATGCCATAAAAAATGCAATCCTTCGTATGTAGTTCTTTTGTCCTTGTTCGTAGTAAATACATATATGACCGGCTGAAATTGTTTCTAGCCGGTAGTTTTCATACCATCATATCCCTCCATAGTCCGGACTATGGGGTGTACGTGCTCCTCTCGTTATGAGGAGGTGGACCCTCGGTCGGCAGGGGCGGGAAAGAGTGGCGTGGGAACGATCGTGAAAAAAAAAAAAAAAAAACTCTTATTAGATGAATCTACCGTTATTTAACAATCATCTAAAAGAATTTGCAGAAGAAAGCGTCGCACGCAAAGTGGCGATTAATTCAAATAATGAACTTTAACGTTAAGAACAGTTTTTGGTACCGGGTGAATGAAGATAAAATTCTACATCACTAATTGCCAAAATAAAAGTTCTTAGCTGTTTACTTTATTTGCAGGGCGTCTTCAAAGTTCAGTAATTATTATTATTTTTGCGCGCATTGGTTAAAAGTGAAAATTTGCATATTTCCAGTGATAACTTTTTTAATAAAGACTTCTAAAAGTAAAAATTTTATTATGTAGCCGTCTACTTTAAGTGTTTGAGCATATGAAAAATCTTTGTTTGTTTAGATAAATGTTTTGGAAATATTGAAAAAAAAGAAAAAATAAGGAAATTGCTCCAAAAATGTGGTATTTTTGGTGTTTGTATTGGATTTTAACTGAATTATCAGTGAAACTTAGTAAAACTGCTTATATTTTCTTAAAATATGAAGTTTAGGCTTATAAATTCCAGAAAAACTTGTTGCCGTTTTGGTGGATTTTTTGACTTATTAAAGAATTTGTAAAATAACTCAGCTAAATGAAGAATCTCAGGAAGCCAGAAATAAGGACTTAAAACACTATTGGGAGCTCTTTTCCAGTAAATTCAGCCCGGAAAATACAATAGAAGACGTCTTTAATAGATTTCTTTAAAGTTCAGATCCATTTATTTCGAGCAAGAGGAAAAGTTGTAAAAATAAAATACAGCAAATGCCTCAGACTACTTTGGACTTACTTATTCTTACCCAAAAGGAAAATGATAATGGTGACGAAGATGATGAAGGTGAATATTATTTTAATGAATTGTATGATGATTAAGAAGTAAATGAATATTATTATGTGAATTAATTCTATAATGGCTGTGAAGTAAACGATAATTATGAAATTAATAATACTGTTAAAATTAATAGAATCAAGTAAATAAAAAACCGTACAATTATATTTTTTAATTATTTTTTCCTGTAATGGTTGTTTGTTTTATTTTTATACTATGGTTTTTGTTTATGAATATTGATCAATAAGATATAATAATATTTTCTAATGTAACTTTTTTTAAATATGTGGAATTTGAAGAAAAAATCGGATTTTAAATTAAAATTTTGGGTATATAAATATATATTAAATATTTATTAATTTTTATTTTTTTAAGAACAATTTTTTTTTCTAAAAAAAACATTATGTATGCTCTAATTTTCAATGGCATTTCCTAATTTTTCGTTTTTCTTTGAAAAGTTATAGCGAAAATTGCCATATAAGACCACTTTTTCCAATATACAAAAAAGGCCATAAAATATTAAAACAACAAATTTTTATTTATTTTTTTTTCTAATTATGCTTTTTTATGTATTTATGAATATCCATCAATAAAAAATAGCAATATTTAAAAATTACGGCTTTCCTGAATTAATCGCCACTTTGCCTACCGCTCAACCCACTGTGCGTCGTATATTTTAGAATATTAAGGCAAACTCGCATTCTCTTAACCATACTAAAAAAATCGAAAAGCCAAATTAACTTTTTGACTTAATTAAAAAATTATTTATATTTTTTTCAGATATCTTCATACTTCTATTTGTTTCTCGCGATTATTATACCATATTTCAATGTGATTTGACAAGTATGCAAAGAAATCAAATGTGTTTAATCATTTGTGTAGAAAAACACGAATTACAACAAATTTGTGAACGCGAACAGATTTCGAATCAGCATGTTTTTCTTAACCTATGTACCAAAAATCATGAATGTGCTCGCAAATTTTTTTTATGGACTTTTAAAAGAATTTTGTAATTTCCCATATATACATACAGTGAGTGTAATAAGTATTTTGCCTCAATACAAATTACACAATATTCCAATATATACGCCTGAAGCCAGCATACTAAAGATGTAAAATGAATTATGTATGGTGGAATATATTTATGGACATATTTAGATCGTATTTCTACAAGAATCACTGCGAAAGTGTAGCATACAACGTTTATTAAAGGAAGATGATGGTTTTAAAGACTTTTGATTAGAAATGGGAGCACGTCTTTCACCGGCCTTATCGCTCTCCGTAATGGGGGTAGGTTCAACACTTCCAAGCCTTTTCTTCAGCTTTACTATATTATTTTAATTTACGTGCTCATAATGCGAAAATATAATAATCTGAATAATAAAAAAAAATGTCAAAATTTTGAATGATAGAAAAAGGGAAGATATACAACTTTCATATTTCAATGAATACTACCATCGAAAACCAAAAACAGACGAATAGATGTTATTTCGCCTGTGAAGCCCACCCGACCGTATCACTAATTGTATCCTCAAACAACTCATTAATTGTGATCCCACGTTAAAAGGTAACTACCTTTCCTTACATTGCTGCATAATCAAACAGAAAGTTCATCTACTCAATATTACACATTTTATTATACAAGCAACTTAAATAAAATCGCATACTATTCGAAAAAATCAATATATGAAAATAATAATGTGATTGATATAACAATAGATCTAGTCATGAGTGAAAATTCAATTAAATTCATAAATAAATAATAAAAATTAAAATCTAAAATTGTTAATAATTTAAGAAAAATATAACAAAAAATGTGATCATGCCAAAAAAAGGTTACCCACGTTAATGTATCTGATTAACGCCAGCAAACAAAAAAAAAAAAAAAAAACATATTATAATTATCGTATGCTTTCGTACTGAGTGTAGATTGAGAGCAACCAATAGCCAATGCAAAGCTTACTCACTCGAACCAATAATTAATACTTTAAGAGTTTCATAAATTTATCACTTACTCTTATTATTGTACTTGCGCTCATCCCCCGACGAAAGGCCTTTCGATGAGAACTGCTTGTGTGTTGATGCTTAAGAGGTGATTATACGATGACGATACAGTTGGCTCTTGGTTATCATTCTCTTCAACATTGTTGCTTAACATTTGAGAAGTATTACCTGCAACACGCTTAATGATAAACGCTTAACAAATGAATATACATGTATCGATCACTCAACTTCTAGTCAATCACACAACCCACTATTTAATTGCGATCAGCAAACACAATGTTCATAT